GGAGGGTTTGCAGCCAAGGTTGTGCCACCAACACAGAAGGCGCCGGTTTGGCTGCACTTGTGGAGCGTCATCGACAGGTCAGCACGCACATTTTTTTGGCTGCGCAGCAGCACGCCCCTTCCGCCTGTGGCGTTAGAGTGCGCGGTGTGGCGCGGCGGACCAGCTGGTGAAATGCAACGTGATCATGCGCACCGAGAAAAGGGCGGGCGCGCGCCCGACACAGGCGCGCGCGGCTTGCACTGTGGCCGCGCCCCTGCGCTGGCTGCAAAGTTGGTAGACAGGATGTCATTGGGTCGAGGCAGGCCCGGCGGCGCTGGGGCGGGCCGGCTGGGGCAGGATTGGGTCAGGCCAGCCCGCGCCGCAGCGGCGAGCGCATGTAGACCGCCCCGACGCGTCGGCGCGTCCGCATTGCTTTTCGGACCAACCGCGCGCAACAGGCTCGTTCCAGAAACAGGGGTGGACGAGGCCCGTGGGTGGTGGCACGCACGCACGCACGCGCGCGGCGCGTGCGGCGCGTGCGCCGGTTTCCGTCTATCGTTGGGGAGTGGTGGCGGCTCCGCGCGGGGGTGCACGACGGCCCCGATGGCGCGCCACACGCATTCGAGTGCATTCGCAACAGTGATGATAGGCATGTAAAGGGCACCGGGGCGCGCACGCGCACGCGGCTGCAGGCGCCGGGCGTGCGCCTGGCGCGCGCGCAGGAGCGGGCGTGTTGGTTCGCCTGCGGCCGCAGAAGCGCATACGCGAGGCACGGGGCGCATCCAAACCCCAAACAGCTGCAGGACGTAGCCGCAGAATACGGTAGAAAGTTGGATTCAATCAAAGCCATTGGCGCGGCGGGCGCGAGCATGTGCGCACCAAACCCGGCGGCGGCAAGCCGGGGCCAATGGCGCTGCGCGGCGCGTCAAGGCGGCGCGTACTGAGGCCCGGTGCGTGTTTGGTTAGGGTTTTCGGGCCTCTGCGCGGTGTGCGCGGCGCCAAGGGGCTGGCTGGTTGTGGGAGCCAGCTGGTTGCGGCGGGAGTGGGTGCGCCGCCACAGGTCAGGGCCAAAGGCGCAGCCCTGGCCTGCTCGGGGGGATCCAAGAATCACGCATGCAGGGGCGCCTGGGGTGAGCGCCCCGCGCGACCGACGCGCGGCGGTTGCACCCGCAAGCTGGACGTCGCAGCCCGGAGGGGGCTCGGGGGCGGGCTTTCTGGAACTTGCAGTGCACATAAGGAGAGGCAGGGTGTGTGCTTGTAATGCTGGTCGAAAGGTGGGCCGGGAGCGGCCTGCAGATGCTGTCACCTGGTAATCCCGGGGCTGTTCAACTGTCCAAAAGAGGGAAGGGCGCGCTGCACGGCAGGCCTTGCCGCGCAAGCAAACGACAGGGTCGAGTGAAGAGCGGCGCCGGCGCGCGCACGGGGGGCGGCAGGCCGCCGCCGCCGCAGCCACCTCACTGCGCTGCGTCAGGCGCCGCTGGAGCGATTCGGGGCGACACAAGGTCTGACCTAGGGTACTGCCCAGGGTCCCGAAGCGGGGGGCACAAGCACAATCACAAATGGCAACTGGGATGAGTGTGGCGCTTCCCGTGTGAGCGTCGGTGAGCACTATGCGGGTCAAACAAAGGCGGTCGCATGGCACGGGTGTGTAAACGTGGCCGTCCGCGCGCGGGGCCGCCGCGTGCACGCGGCGTGCGTGCGTGGAGCGGCAAGTCTATGTGCGTAAGTGTGTGTGAACGTGTGAGACGCCTCTGCCTGGCAAGCAGGTTTGAGGCGCGCCGTGCGCTCTCAATGCCTCGCGGCGGGCCGGTGCCCCGTTTTCAGGAAGCAGGTGCAGTGGACGGCGGACGGCGAGGCGTGTCCACTCGCCGTCAGCCCAGCACTGGGCCCCGCATGTCCCTGGATCCACCACAAGCGGCCGTGACAGACCCAGAATGCCAATATCGCGACTTTCGCATCAGCGACGCATGCCAAGATCCAACGCCGGGGGCGCGCGTGCCGTCACGACAGGACGCGGCAGCAGTGCACGCCGCGCTGCGTTTCGCAGCCCCCGCGCGCGGCCATCAGCCGCAGCTCGTCAATGCGGCAGGCGAGCTCCAAGATGGCGACTGGGAGGTCGCGCCCGTGGCCGTGGCCGAGGCCGTGGCCGAGGCCGTGGCCGAGGCAGTGGTGGCTGTGTTGCAGGTGGCCGCCGGCATGCTGCGTGTGCTCTGGGGCTCCGGCAGCGACGGGGCTGTGGAAGAGGCCGCCGCCGCCGAGGGGCGCGTAGATCTGGAAGACGTCCTCGTGGCGCTGGGGCCGCGCGGGGGCGCAGGCGTGGGGGTGCGCGCCGGCGGGCTGGGGGGCCTGTTGAAGCGCAGGGGCGCGGCGATGGGAAGGGGCAGGGCCAGCGGTGGGGAGGGAATGTCACATGAGCCAGGGTGGGGTGGGCGGGCGGGGCTACTCAAGGTGGATGCACTTGCACTTGTGCACCTCGTGTGTTGCAAGATGGATGAGCGCGTGCTGCTCGAGGTCGCAGGCGTGCTGTGCGTGGCGTGGTCCCTGCTTCCAGGGAGGTCGGGAACTCACCGGTTTGCCCCAGGCGGGGTACACCGGCGCTGGGTGAGAGAAGCAGGACCACGAATCAACATCTTGGGCCGCATTCAGGGCCTCCGTCAGGCACCTGCGCGCGCTCGCCATTGTTGCGTCGATCGGATCTGATGCTGTTGTCAGCGCGGGCGCTGTGGATCGTCGTGGCTGATATAATCAAGACTTCCGAAAGTCTTAAGCCAACTGACGGACGGCGCACGCTTTGCGCGGCCGCCCACGGTCAGGTAACAGTCTGAGTCGTGTGAAGGGTTGATGGACGGTCAGAAAGATGACTTCTTGTCAGACATACACAACAGCGTCAACAACGGGCCCGGGCAGCCGCGGGAAATTGAACTTCCTCAATCAGGCGGGAAGTGACAGCCGTGCGATGACGAATCAGAGTGGCAGCCGCCCAAGAAAAATACGGCGTGATCGATGTTGCATAATGCCAGTTTCAGTGTCCATAACACACCCGGCTGGGCCGACGAGTTGCGCCGTGCCCAGCCGTTGGGCACTTCATCGAGATAATTGCGTCGCCCGCTCGTGAGCGCTCAATCACTGCCCGCGACTTTGCACCACCAGTGTATTTGCTGCCAACCATCTCTGCTTGCTTATCAAAAGTGCCTTTATATATCATTTATGCATGCTGCCGGTGATGGCTTTGCTCGCAGCTGGCGGCGTCAGGTGACGACCCTGTTAGAACAAACAGCCGGCCATCATGTGTCATAGCAGCAGTCACGACCACCGTCATGGCTGAGCCACTTGCCGATCATATCAAGGTCAGAACTCTTTGCATACTGCAGCTTGTCGCAAGCATCCTTTGCACGACGCATTGCCACCTGGCGGTGTCCTCGCGCCGCGCACTGCAGTGCGCTTGCGACCAGGCTGCTTGCAACTAGCACGCCAAAGTCCGGGTTGACCGCGTACGGCAGCATAGTGTGTGCGTGAACTGGCAGCTGAATTTCAGGGCTTCTCGGCAGAGTTTGGCCCCCAAGCCACACTGTGATGCGACTCACCAATCTGCGTGTGCTGTGTTCTGAGGCGCATGTGCGTGCCGGCACCCCTCCCCCCTTCCCTTCTGCACACTCACCACCCACACGTCCTGCCAACCTGCTCTTTAAAATGCGATGTGCGCCTTGCATGATGGCCAGTGGCGGTTCCACTGGCCAGCAGGGCGCTACCTGCCGCACACACCTCCCAATGCCCCGTGGTAAGCGGGGTGAGCCCGCCCTGCACAGCCCCGCCCTGCTTGTTCCTACAGTACCGCAACTCTCCCCTCTCGCTCACGACAGCATCGCGCACGTACAGTGGTTACCCCGCGATGCGACGCCCAATCTGTGTTGTTGGACAAATTAGCGCCTGCCAAGCCTGCCCGCATGCGCCAGACGGTAGGTTGCAGCACGCAATCCTGCACCGTCAATGCCCAGCGCTGTTCCGAGTCAGTGAAGCAGCAATTATCACACAAGGCAGCCTGCCTGTGCGAGGTTCCTGCCACGTGGCAGGCGAAATTCGTATTGGAACCCCACCCCAGCCCGGGGGTTGTGCAGGAAGGGCCTCGAGCGCACAGCGTCGCAGCCGGGCCCTGCCTGTGGCGTGATCAGAGGGCAAGGCAAAACGGGGGAAATGCCGGCCGAAGCCTTAGACGTGGTGAAACGGGGCACCACGACACAGGTCCGCTGACAGCGGGTGGGTGCACCAACGCAGATTGAGCTGTGGCTGCTGGTACAAGAGGTCAACCGAGTGCGGGCGCCTGCGGAACACCTGGGTCTGGTGCTCAACTGCACATGTATTCACCTCATCCTGTTCCATGGGCCCTGGCAAGCCTGAGTGTGCCTTCCAAGGCACACTGGCACGGGAGCGTCACCCATCATGCCCACTCACATGTGGCAAGGCATGCTGAACAGTGTGTATACAGCCACGCAGCGAGCGCGTATCCAATTCAAATGTTTAGTGCGGCAGTCTATTTTACAGCATGATTGATTGACGGCCAGCCACAGATCGCATAGTACCGAGATCCGACAGCGCTGAGCAATAGCTAGCAGTGTAGCACTTGTGGTTGAGCGTGTAGAAGATAGCATCATCGGGCCGGTGTCCTCCTCCTCCCACCCCAGCATCCGCACCCCAGGGGCAAAGAGAAGGCAGCGCAGCACGAGCAGCAAAGCGTGCGCACCAAACTACCAAGGGGCCCGCGCTGCGGGGGCTGCGCACATGGCCGAGGTCAATGAGGAGCACTTCATCTTCCGCGTGAAGCCCCCGCAGCTGGCGGCGAAGCTGCGCGGCTGGCTGCGCGAACAGCAGGGGCTCAAGGGCCGAGCAGAACTGCTTTTCGAAGGTGGGGGCGCCGCGCGTCGTCTGCCCAGCCGGCAATCCCCCTCCTGCCCAGCCCGCAGCCCGCAGCCGCTGCGCTGTCCCTCTACGTGCTCAAGTAGCGGCAGCTCGGGCTTGCCCACACGCTCTGCGCCGCGCACGCGCGCACCGCCGCCCGCCTCGGACGCCGACCGACGCGCGGCCCCCCTGCGCCGCCAGACAACAACCGGCGCGGCAAGCTCGTGGTGGAGGGCGTGGCCTACCCGGTTTCGCTGGAGGACCTGCCCACCAGGGTGGAGAGCTTCAAGACGTTGGATGACACGAACCTGGTAAAGATGACTGACGTCGGCCAGGTGGGGCCAAAGGCGTCGGTGCAAGGGTGGGAGGATGGACCGGGGGTGCGGGCAGCGCGCCTCGAGGCTCTTTCTGGACAGCGAGGATACGCGGGCGCAGGCGAGGCGGCGCGCGGCGGCGCGACTGCCCCTTGCGTGCGCAGCGGCCGCGCCTCCCCGCGCGCGGTCGCGGCGGGGCCGCCGCTGCGCCTTCCGCCCTCCACCCTGCTTCCGCCCATGTGGGGGCCCTGGGGCCCCACAACCGCCCCTCCCCCACCCGGCTCCCGCGTCGCTCCCGCGCACCTGCCTGGGCACTCGTCGCTCGCTCCCTGGCCCATGCGCACCCCTCCCCCCAACCCCAACCAGCCTGGGCTGCGCCATGCGCCATGCGTCGCCCGTAGACAATATCGCAATCCCCCCAACGCCTGGGCTGCGCCATGCGCCATGCGTCGCCCGTAGACAATATCGCAATCCCCCCAACGCCAACTCCCTGCCCAGGTGTTGGTGGTCCATGAGGCCGGCACCGACCTGCCGCCGCCCCCCAGCCGCGACCTCGAGAAGCAGCAGGCCCCCGCGGCCGTGGAAGCTACAGAGGCGCGCGACGGCGTCACGCCCCCAATGCGGCGTGCGCGCGCGCGGCAGTTCCGGCCGCGGTTCACTATTCAAAGGGACAGCGTGTTCAAGTACGAGGAGTGCCTGCTGGAGATCCTGCAGGGCAGGCGAGCGGGCGGCGGGGCGGGGCAGGGGCGGGGGGCCCGCCGCGGGGACGGCCTTGGCAGAGGCCGCGCTGGCCGCTGGGCGCTGCGAGCGGCGAAGCCGGCTCGCTCGATGGGTCGCTTCGTGCGGCCGCAGCAACTGCTTCGCTGTTGCGCTCCTGCAGGCAGGCGTGGTGACTCGCTGTTGTGACAACATCGAAGGGCATACAAGTGATGCTGTCTCATCCAGATGTGGTCACACACACACACACACACACACACACACGCACACACACACACACACACATGCACATACTCACGTGCGTCCACACCCACGCACGTCCACGCATCCCATCAGGGCCCCCGAGGGCTGGACGTTCCGGGACGTGGAGGAGGAGTACAGAGTGGACTCGATCACCGGGGAGGGCCGCTGGGTGGCAGTCGCCGGCCTCCGCGGCCGCTTCGGCAGGAAGCCCGCCGGCTTTGCAGACGCGGCCGCCGGCGCCGCCGGCCCCGGCGGCGCAGCGGCCGGAAAGCCGGGGCGCAAGAAGAAGAAGCGGGGCAGCGAGGACGACGCGGATTTTGAGGACGAGCTTACGGACGACGACGAGTGACGGGTGACGGGTGACAAGTGATGTCATCATGACTCTCGCATGACAACCAGTCTGCATCCTGTTTCCATTGCTCTTTCACACGCGTCGTGTTTGCCTTGACTGAAGAGCACCTTGCGCTTTGGCGCACCATATGTCGTGTACGCTCTCACCGCTGCCAGGCAACCTTCACAAGGGTGACGGCGCGCGCAATCCCTCCACCCATTCTGGTTCCATACAACCCATTGCTGGCCTGTGGTCCAGTGGCCCAGCTACTGCAGTCGCGCAGCTGCTGAAACCAATGTCACCCCCGCCCCTTACGTGGTCCTGGCCAGCTGCCGGCAGCGAGCTTGAATGTGGCTGTATGATACTGCAGGAAACAGCTGGCCAAATGTCAGGAACTAGATTACCCATCGTCGGCAACTAAAGAAATGCGGCGCCGCCCGCCGTTCAGGAAAAGTCGACACAAAGACGAGGATGTGCATGGCCCTGCCGCGGGCCGGCGACGCCAGCGCGCGGCTCGGGCGCGAGCGGGGGCGGCTGAGGCCCCCGAACGGGAGGGTGTCTTCGATGATGATAGAGAACTGCGGATGCACCATGTCGCCGCCTCACATGCACAGGAACCATGCGCGCCGGAGGCGCGGCGCGAGGCCGCGGCCGGGCGGCAACGAAAACAGGGTCGGCGTTTGTAAGCCTGCGAGCCGGCAGCGAGCGGCGCCGCTGCGCGCAACCTTGCTACTTGAGGGCGCCGTAGCTGCCCAACACACCTGGACTGGGATCAAGCCATGGGCCGGGCCGCGCTAATGAAAGCGCCTGCCCTGCGGGGGGCCCCACTGCGCACCGCACCCGCCGCGGCGGCCGGCCTTACGAGTCGGGAGCCCCGTCGTGCGGGGCCCGTGCCTGCCGCAGAGGAGGGCTCAGCCGTCGGCGGCCGCCGCAGGAGCCAACCGCTTAGAGGAGGTTGGGGTCAGCAATGCCGAGCTTGTCGCCGACCTTGTCGATTTTCTCCACCCTCGAAAGCGTGAAGAACTCCCCGCCCGCGACCAGCTGCGGTGCGGTGCATTGGGATAACGGCGCCGGCGCAGGTCAGGACCGGAGCACTTGATCCGCGGCCGCGGTATGAAGGATACAAGCGATTGCGGGGGAGGCGGCCGCCGCCGGCGGATATACGTTTGGTTGTCGCGCGCGCACCTGCTTGGGCGGCTCCCCCTCGCGAACGATGCCCCAGATGACGAGAGTGTCGTCTTGGGGGTCTGTCACGCCGATGATGCGCTCCGCCAGCAGCGAGGGCACCACTATGGGGTTGTCCTCGGTGCCGAACCGCGGCTCGTAGGCCCTGGCGGCCGCGGGCGGGGGGGCGGAAGCGATACACTCGGGAGCTGAAGCGGGCAGCAGGGAGCATGGGCCCTAGTTCTCTGTGCGAGCACCCGCGCTGTGATGGCTGTTACTGTACGGCGAGATCAGCTGCCGTGTGATGAGACAGCAAGCCCGCGGCAATCCCTGCTGCGCTCGCGACAGCTCGCCACCCGACTCCGGCTTGCTGTGCAGCGCTGGAGGTCCGCGGTCGAAACGCACGCGTCCTCGCGCCCCTCTGCTCCTGCTGGCGTTGCCCCTGCTGCTGCAGCACCTGTGGCTGCCGCAAACGCCGCGAACGCAGGCGCCGCCACGCTAGCGCGCGTGCTTGGGGCTGGCAGCCTGTTCTGTCCCGCGCCCACTGCTCACCAGGCCTCATCCCAGATGTCCTTGTCAGCAAGGTACCCGTACTTCGTATCCGCGGGCCTGTGAGGTTTTGCACGCGGTGCGGCGTTGCCTGAAAGTGATGTTTCAGAGCGCGGCAGACAACCGACTGCACGGGCGCTGCCGCTGCTTGCAGGTTGCCACAGTCAGCTGACGCATGAGCTGCAGCGACGCATGCAGCAACCACCGCTTTGCACCGGTCACTGGGCTCTGCGCCGCTGCCGCACGGCACGTTGGTGTGGTCGAGGACAAAGAACATACGCCGCGTGTCGCCCGCAGTCAATGAGCCAGGCAGCCGGCCACCCACCCGACAACTTCGCTGGGGGAGGCCTTCGGCGGCTCGGCCCAGGCCGACACGCTGGTGTGGTATGCGCTGCTCCGCAGCCAAGAGGCGAAAGCAGGCGCGAGCTGGCGCGCGGCCTGTGAATAATTCGTCAAGCCCAAGCAGCAGGGACGGGCAGGAGGGTTCCGTTTCGCCCTCGGAAGGGTGCAATGCTGCTGCGTGAGCTCAACTGCGAGCTACCCCCAGCCTGTCGCTGATCAAGAATAATGCAGTAGCATCCGAAGCAAGAGGGCCGGGCGGAAAATCGCCGAGGAGGGCCGATCTGGCAGAACCGATCTGGGCAGCGCCAGCCGCCCCCAGCCCCGTTGAACTGACTGCAAAGCACACATTGTGTCTGATTCGTTGCAGGCACCAGCGTGAGGGCCCTCCTGCCGAGCCTCGCGGCACTGATGGGGTAGACGTGCGCACCAGCAGCCCCACCTGCTGCTGCGTCCCCACGTTCGCCAGCGTCCTACCCACTGCCTGCAGCAACGTGCTCGCCAGCTGGCGGCTCATGGCTGCGGCAGTGCGTGGTCTCTTTGGTCGATCTCTCGATGAATGCCCTAGCGCTCTATTACGCTGCAACCAGTGTGCCGACTAAAACACCACGCAATCATCAGCCTATGTTGTGGAACACAACTGCTGCCGCGCGCGCTTGAACACCAAACAAGGGCTGCCCCACATGGGCCTGCTGCAGGGCGAGCTGCTGCTGTGACGCACACACTCACTGGTGTGCTGCCGTCGACATCACCCAAAGCTTGGGTGACCGCTGCATGGGGTACACTGAGTATCATAATGTTGCAGAGGTACGAGGACACACCTGTGTCCCTGTCGTGGTATCATAAGCCTGGCCGACTGTACCTTGGCCAGTGCTAGTGGGTGGTTAGGCCGACAAACCGTCTCATCAGCCTGTCGGCCAGCTGGCAACATGATCAATTGTCTGCAGGCACAACACCTGGTGCTTGCAAATGCGCACCCCCATACTGAGGAGGCACTACCTGGTGGGCCATGCTATCGCCCCGACTGGCTGTTGGGGCTTAGAGCCGCCCTACCCCCCACCCCCACACCCCACATTGGGGAACGTTGGAACGTGCGAGGGGGCGTGCTTGCCCATGTTTGCACTTGGGGTCCGGCTCGTCGCTGCAAGTGGCAATCTCGAGAGAACGCTACTCGCCCGGAATACCCACCCAAACCCCGTTTGGGTGTGCAAACACAACTTGGCTTTGGGCTGGGCGTTGCTAAACAGCAACTGATGCACGTGCATGCACACACACAACACGCCCAAGGTCACGTTGATGCACGCCGTGGTGACCGACGTGGCAGCGGTGCAGTGTGGCAGTACACTGTCTTTGCGAGCAGCCAGCGATTTAACATGGAACAAAGGGGCGGCGCACGGCCGACGGGATTGGTGGCATGCAAAACTACTGCAGTCTAAACTAGGCTCGCGGTGGGTTGTCATACCAACCAAGTCAAGGGTTGTTGATCGAATAAAGGTCTGACTGGGCGCGTGCAAGCGACGCCTGCCGCCCCGCATGCAGTGGCGTCAACCCGCCGCCCGGCTGCGACAGCCGCTGCGCCGAGCCGCCCGGTGCCGGCGCTGGCACCCGCTGCTCTGCGCAGCGCGCGGCCCCGCGCGGCGCCGCCGATACGTAGCAAGACGAGTTATCCCACTGCCGCGGCACATAGGTTTCTGACAGCTTGGGCGAGGACCTGCCCCACGAGCCGCCGCTGCCGCGCAGCGCCGCCGCCTTGTCGACGCTCTCCTCGCTGAAGCGGTCCGGGGCGACAATCAGGCGGCCGTCCCCGTCGTATTTGTAGCAAAGCGCGACGCCGTTGTGGCCCTGGCGCACGACGGTGATGTCGGACTCCTGGAGAAAGGATGGTCAGGAGGGTTGCTTTCGCAGAATGGCGGGTGGCGAGGGGTCGGACCGCCGCCGCTGGGACTGGATTGCAGCGCGGCCCAGCGTGCAGCGGGCAGGAGGCGTGCAACGCGTGTGCCTCCTGCACCGCTGTGGTTTCCAGCCATTTTATACCCTTGATGTGGATTGTATCAGATGATTGGCAGCAACAAGCCAAATCTGCAGCCCGCCACAGCTGTATGGGTACTCGCCTTGCCGGCTGCCAGCGGCGCCCCTGCCGGCCGCTCCGAGCAGCCGCCAAAGAACAACAGCGGCGGCAGCGCTGCCACGATCAGCGCCGCGCCGGCGATGAGCATCGCCTTGGGCGGCAGGCTGCAGGTCTCGATGCTGCACGCCTGGAGGGCCACTAGGAGGTACTTGCAGGCGTCAAGCTTCGCCGCGCCCATGCAGAACAGCGCAGCGCCCAGGGACGCCATCGTGACGACCCACGCCCACGCCAGGCGGTTGCGCGGCGTGCCGCAGCCCCAGTAGACCATTTCTGCTGACTATGGCGCCAATTAGTTCACTGCTGCACCGACGGCGGTTTCTCTGATGCGCGTGTGCATGCGCATGCGCTGCGCTGGTCTTTGGTCTGCAATCCCTGCAACAGTCAGAAGCAAGATAGACAACGATCTTGTAAATGTATTCAAGTATCAGTTGCGCTCCCTCTCAAGTATTGTACGGGTACGCCCTGCTGAAACGCCGTGGGTAGCCGTCTCGCTGATTGATGAAGGGACCCGAGTGTGGTGAACAGCCCGTGAAGGACGATAAAGCAGCAATTGATGCGCTGAAGTGAATATTGTGTTTGAAACTTCAGCAATGGCGCGCTGTAGAATGCGCAGCTCAGCTGATGAGCTGCTTCGCTGCATGCCTTGCTTCATGCCTTCATAGATGGGGAACCGTGCTTTGTCCAATTGATTGTAGGGAGTTTATCAACGTGAAAATATCTTTGTAAATTTCTTGGATTCATGCACCATGCTGTGGGCACCTGAAGGGGCAGTACAGGGCCGCGGGTTGCTTGCATTTGTTCAGGTGGAGTGCAGAACACCCTGCTATGACACGTAAAAGTGTTGAGGGTTTGATGCAAAGAGGTTTCAATTGAGATTTGCGATATCTTTCTCCACTTGTGTACTGCACGACCGACATCATTTTGAAGATGCGCTTCATCCAGCACGGGTGGCGCTTGCTTGAATCAATCATCAACCGGCACTTGCGCAGGCTCTCCGGACCTGTACACGGTTCCCGGATTTTGTCGAGCAGGCGCACACCCTTCCAGCCCGCTGACAGCCCCGTGCAATCCCAACTGCTGTAAGCCATTCCACACACAGTCAAGTCAGTCACAGAGTGACCCTACAGAAGACAGTTCGTCCGCGCAGATGTCCGTCTGCTGCGGGGTACGCTTGTCAACAAGTTCAACCTACCTGGTTTACTGATGGCAACAATGCATGCAACACAGAGTGAATTCCAGCCACTACAACATGCAGTAATATGCTCGGTCAAGGTGCTTGCGGATGTATGCGTTGGCCATCCATCCACCCCACCTCATACAAGGCCGTTGGCCTGCCCACCAGAACAGGCTGTCCCTACGGCGGTGCGCTGGAGTCCTCAAACCAAGTCGATTGGCCCGGCCCAGCCAAACTTCTCATTATAGGTTGGTTTCACGGCATCCATGGCTGCTGCAGCCAGGACGTAAGCAGGCTCCTGACAGCCACCCCATTGTGAAGAGCAAGCTCAACTCCTGCTTGTTGAACAACTGGCGAGCAAGCATTCGGAGCCTCTTCTTTCTAGTCCTCACACCCCACCATGTGCCCCTGGCACAAGTGTGTATGCAAAACTGTTCTGGCTCTCCACCAACGTGTCCGCGGTTGGGTGTGTTGGTGCATGCCCGCCTGGCGGCGCGCCCTGGTGGCCCCTCCACTGCTGCTGTGGCGCAAGTGCGCACTCGTCATCATAATGCGCGAGGCATGGAGGAGCGTACGACTACCAGTATCTTCAACAAAATCGTGCGTTTGATCAAGCGAAAGCGCACACAACCGGTCATATCGCATCAGCTGGGCCCGAACGCAGGCGACCGGACCAAGCGGCCTCAGCGCTGCATCTTCGATATCAACAGGCCTTTTTTCTTGGCATGCCCTAGCTCGTGACGATCCCTAGCCAGCCAGGTGGGCGTGGACGTTCTTGCACCTCGGCGTGCGGGGTCTCTGTCGAGCAGCACCGGGCAACTTAAGTCGGATATTGTAGCATCAGCTTCTAGAGGTCTCCCGGGTGGCTTGGCATCGCCGAACGGAGCGAAGGTCAACGCGTCGACCGCGGGCAGGGCACAAACCTGCGGCTTGCCACATCAAACGGCGTGTCACTTGCAACTCCATCCATTCAGTGGCTCTGCCGATCAAACGACGCCGCAGCTGTGCCGCGGAACGGCCAGCAGCGTGGCGGGACACGGAAGCAGCAATGCAGCGCTTCTACCCAACAATCGAATCTCCCGCTGGTCTCGAGGAAACAGATAGCGATGATGATGTACGCGCAGGCAACAGCCACCAAGCCAAGCCCCGCAGGAAGGCGCACCAGCGGCCACAGGTGCGAGCCCCAAGCTTGTGCGACACATCAGCGACGCGCCGTCCATGCGGGCTGCTGAAGGGTGCGAGCGAAACGCTGTGGGCCCGGCAGTTCGTGAATTCAAACACGTTGCGGCAGCCGCGCCTGTTCGTCTGTAACGCTCTCTCGCCCCCGGCCCGGGTGCACTGTCGTCCCCTCGGCGCACCTTCGCCCACCACGCCCGACACCCAGCGCCTGCCACCCGCCCCCCCCCCCTGCGCGCCTGACAACAGGGCTCGGACCAGGTCCGCCAGGCGTTTTCGAAACGCAAGAAGGGCCTCGTCCTCAAATCATACCAGCTGTTCCGCCTCACGGATGCAAAGGTGTGCTGCGTGGGGTGGGGGTGCAGGTGTCCGGGGGATAAGGGCAGGGTCGCGCCCCAACTGTGACTGATCTGCTCAGCGAGTGCGCCAGTGCGCCCCGCCCAGCGCCTGCGGAGTTACGCCTGCATGACCAGGTTACCATCGCGGCCGTGGGCCCCTCTACAGCTGGGTCCGTCCTATCTTCAAGCGGCCACAATGATTATACATTATACACCACCATTAGGGTCAGGGTTTCGGGTTGAGGGCCAACAACCATGCATGTACCACGCTCCGCAGGTCTTTGTGTTTGTGGTCAACGACAAGGGCAGCTCCTGGGCGTACGCGACCCCCGGCTACGGCGCCCCCCTCGCGCCGGGCCTGCTGCGGCAGCTGCGTGATGCGGCTGGCGTCGGCGGCGTTGGCGGCGTCAGCGGCCAGAGCAAGTGCCAAACAGAGGTTGGTGTCACAGGCGCGCGTGCCGGCACGCTCGCGCACGGGCTCGCGGCTGATTTGCCGCAGCACATGCGCGCCTGCCAGACTGCTCAATTTGCCGAGGCTGTGGACCGGTTGCCAAGTCAATCATGCATTGTGCCCCATCAATTCCAGCAGCAGCCTGCAGCCCCTTGTTTGACAGGGATCACTTTTTGCGGTATCCAATTGAAGCACTGTTCTTCCAACTTCTCCATGCTCTTCTAGATCATGCCCCATCCGCTGATTGCGGACCACGACCCAGCCATTGACGACAGAGACGTGTTAGTGGCGCCTCGCAGTGGCAGCGGCGCACGCAGCAGCCCCGACGGCACTGCCGCCGGCGCCGTGGGCGGCTGCGCGGCGCGCGCCGCGTGTGGCACCGGCGCCGGCGGGGGCCGCGGCGCGGGTGTCAGTCTCGGCGACGGCTGGGGCGAGCAGGCGTTTGGCGCAGGCGGCGGCGCGATTGGCGGCGCGGGCGGGGCAGCATCGGCACTTGAGCCAGTGGCTGGCGCCGTAAGCGGGGCGACGAGGCCGACGGGATTGATGCGGGGGGACTGCATCCCATTGAGGTCCTGTGAGAAGGGCTGCTTTAGTTGTGCACGACAAATCACTGCGCGTCGCTCACATGCACACTTACACGTACGCGCACACACACACAAGCGCACAAGCCTACACACATGCAACACACACACAGACACGCACACAGGTGCAATGTCAGCCTCAGTTTTCCGTTGTATACCGCAAAGTGACCAGGCATGCATGCTGCTCATGCACCAACCCATTATGCAGGCTGGCATGCAGGCCGACCTGTCGGAAGAGCCGCCGCACACGCGGTCGCAAACAGGCGCGTCAGCAGCAGCCAGCGCCGGCGCCGCCGGCTTCACAGACCGCCCGCCACTTGGCGGCGACGGCGCGTTCATCGGGCATTCGCTGCTGTTTGGCGCGGTCGGGGATATGGTTATGGCTGACCCCCCTGCAACCAGCTTGATGATGTCATCGGCGATGCACCTTCAGCTGCTCCAGGGGGACGGCCCGGCCCCTGACGCAGTGCCAGCTGCAGCTGCTTGTGGGGTGCCGCTGGCTGCAATGCCGGGAGCAATGATGGCCGGACGCATGTTGCAGACGGACTTTGCAGCACCACAGCTGCCGTGCCCGGCCGTGCCGCTGCTCGTGGTCAAGCCCGAGCCGCCCTGGTTCTCCGACATGCCGCAGCCGGCAGATTTGATGTTTCAGCAGCAGCAGCAGCAGCAGCAGCAGCAGCAGCAGCAGCAGCAGCAGCAGCAGCAGCAGGAGCAGCAGCACCAGCACCAGCACCAGCAGCAGCAGCAGCACCAGCACCAGCAGCAGCAGCAGCAGCAGCAGCAGCAGCAGAAGGCTACATGGGTACGGACCGCGCCGCCATCTCCACGCGGCTGCGGCCGCAGCAGCTGCCCGCCCACCACACACGACGACCCTGTCGCATCGCTGCAGGCGCGACTCAAGCACGTCCGCACGCGAGGCGGCGGCGGCGGCCCCGCCACCTGGCGGGGCGGCGGCGTTGCGCAGGAGGCGCAAAGCGCGCCTGCAGGGCTGGCGGGCTTCCCTGTGCTCGGCCCGGCAAGCGCCAACTGCAGCGCGCCCGCGAGCGACGCCAGCACGCCGCAGCCGCGGACTAGCTCTGGTGACGCCGCCGGCGGGCCGTGCAGCGTGGCTGCACCCCTGTCTGTCATAGGCGCCAGCGGCGCCGGCGGCGCGACGAGCAGCGGCGGGACGCCGACGTTGGGCGGCCGTGGCGGCTTAGTCAGCAGCGCTCCAAGCCCCTTCTTGCACACGGGCCCCGCCCACGCCACGCGGCCCGGCTGCGGCGCGGCCCATTCTCCCGCGGCGTCAGTCGGTTGTGTGTTCTCGGCGCTCGCCGTCGGGTCCACGCCCGAGCAGCCGGGCGCGGCGCCGTCGCAGTGGGCGGCGGGGCGCCTGCAGCAGTTCTACTCCAATGATGGCGGCGCTAACGCGGAGCCGGCGTCGCTAGCAGGTGCCAGCCTGGCGGAGGATGACTTCATCGACAACCCCATTCTCGCCGGGCTCTGGGCGCCCTGCTGCGCCGGGCCCGACCCCGCCCCTCCCTATGCGCACGCAGCGCAGGTGCCCCTGGTGTGGATGGCAGGCGCGCCGCTGCTGTCTCTTGGCGCAGGGATGGCCACGGGGGCGGCCGCGGCAGCGGCGGCGCCGGCGCCGCCCATTTCTATGGAGCAGGTTGCCGCGCAGCTCAGCGCGTTGCAGCAGCAGCAGGCCGCGCTGCGGCAGCAGCTGGTGCAGCAGCAGCAGCGGCAGGCCGCAGCGGCGCAGCGGCAGCGACAGCAGCAGCAGCAGCAGCAGCAGCAGCAGCAGCAGCAGCAGCAGCAGCAGCAGCAGCAGCAGCAGCAGCAGCAGCAGCAGCAGCAGCAGCAGCAGCAGCAGCAGCAGCAGCAAGCGGCTTACGCGTCGCCGGGCATGCTGCCAACAGCCTCATCACTGGCAGCCCAGGCCGCCGGCGCCTGCAGCCTCACGTGGGGCGACTCTGGAGGCCGCGAGCAGGTACTGCAGGCCTTGAGCGCCCAGATCAGCGCCATGAGCCCTGAGTTGCGTGCCCAGCTGCAGCAGCAGCTCGAAGTGACCACCTCTGGCGCCCAGCCCCGGGCGGCTGCGCCGGGGCGACCGGCATCCCCAGCGGCGGCGCCGCGCGGAGGCGGCGGCGGGGGCGGCGGCGGCGGCGGCATGCTGCATGGGCGGTCTCGGCTGTCTGCAACGAGCGCGACTGCTGCGGACGAGCCCATGAGAACCGAAGGGGCGGAGGCGGCGATGGAAGACGACAACCCACCCCTGCAGACGCCTGCGCCCGCGCCCGCGCCCCTGGCAGCGGCGCGGCCGCAGTCGCCCGCCGCCCGGCCGCCCGCTCTTGCTGCGCTCTCGCCGCCAGAGTGCTCGAGCCCGCTCAAACGCGGCAGCGGCGGGGTTTGTGACGGCGGCGCGCCGTCGAAGCGGCTGCGCGGCCTGCCGCAGCCGCCTTCTTTCGCAACCCTGGTGCAGGCTGACTTGGCGCTCGACGACGCGGTGGCCTGGGCGCTGCAGGCCTCGTTCTGCGGAGCTGTGCGGGGGCCGGACGGGCGGCCCATCATAGAAATCGACAGCAGCGAGGCGGCGGTCCCGGACCAACGCCAGGCGGGCCGCCTGGACGAGCCAGAGTGGCCGCAGCCGCCCGCGACTGGTTGACGGACCGGGTCCGACCAGGGACCAGCAGCAGCAGCAGCAGCAGCAGCGGCGGCGGCGGCAGACGCGCACTCGCAGCGAGCCTGCCGGCCGTTCTTGACAACTGGCGCGGCTCTGCGGCAGCCGTGCGGGTGGCGGCGTGGATATTATTGAGGGGCGTGTGTGGCGTGCCAGCTGTGCGCTGCCCCGTCGCAGTGCGTCCATCAGGCTTCGCACAAGGGGCAGCGCTACGGGATGTGGCGAGCGCCGGCGCATGCAGACGCTTGCCGCCGTTGGGACGCCGCGTGCAGCTGTGCAGGCCCAGACAGGGTCGAGTTGCAGCACCCAGCCAAGCTGGACTTTTCAGGCGGTCATTTGCATCCTGCACCAAGCCTTTGTTGGATTGCTTGCATTCATGCTGCACCTTGTTTTTCAGGGCATGCAATACCGATAATGCCATTGTATCCAGTTTCTTTTTGGGGGGGGGGGGGCGAGGCGCCTGCAGCCAGCGGCGACCGAGCAGTGAGGGTCCCTCTTGGACCCGTTGGGTCCTAGGAGAGGACAATTTGATTAGATCTGTGTTGCAGCGTGTCTGGTGTGTTTCCCGTCATATACTTGAATAGAGACGCTGCGCTTGTTGCAACAACACTGCATGCTGCATCGTGCACACACATAAGGGTTGAGCAGCTCACGGTCGCAGCATCCCTGCTTCCTTGGTGCGGGGCATCTCACGCTTTGCCCCCAACCCACGCGCTGCCAGGCGCGGCGGTCACTTCGGCGTATCATGAACAGCGGATTACTGCTCAAACCAACACTTGAACCCACCGTGCCGCCAACCGCACGAAATCAGCGCGTTGAGCACCTCAGGCCTTGCTTGATTTTTGATGCGCTGTTGACCGCAACATCCACATTTGACCAGCTATTGGCCTGAGCATGCACCTCCCCTTCGCCTTTGTGATCAGGTCCCCAAATGCTTGCCTTCTGCACAAACCTGATGAGTCAGTCGGGTCAGTGCAAAGCATGTGCGCTTGTGACATTTGATATTCACTCCTGCACATGCAGTGCGGATTGGGCAGACGCACCCCCACAATTTTGATCAGCGACCCGTTCTTTGGCAAGGGCAGGCCCTGTGTTGCAGCCATGTACCCCTACCTGTCGCCCCCCCCCTGTTGCTCGAGGAAACGCGCCCCTTGCCGCACAGGGCGCCGGCGACTGCCGTGCGGGCCGCGAACAAGCACCGCTTTTACGCACGTCCTATGTCAGACATGGGCGCAGTTGCACCCTGGCCGTGCGCATTTGGGCCTCGCGTTACGACGATGCAGGGTTGCGGCTGCCGGCAGGCTGCTCCTCCTCATTCATGACGCCCCGCTGGATTCAGTTGAGCAAACGGTAGTGGCGATCATCCCCTGTCCTGCTTCAAGGCCCAGAAGTATTTGTATCAAGGAATGAATTGAGAGCATCAACCCTCACGTCGTATCGTGAGCTTGCATGCGCGATGTTGCCTTGGACGGCGCACCACTTCTGCCGTCAGCCTTCCGCCCACGCACAAGACGGCCCGGCGTTACCCGGACGGCTGTGTTGGGCCTGGAGCTGTCAGATCTAATCGCGCACGCCCACTCATTGCCGGCTTTGCTCTCCAAGGCTTTTTGCCTTTGCTTGTGTGAGCCCTTAACCCCAAAAGTCGTGCGTCAAGAGTGTATTGTACATCAGGCATGTTGGACACCTACACACACTCACACACGCACTGCTGAAATTCGAGCACAGGCACAGTATCTGGTCTCTGCCCCTGGTTGGCTCTTGGGAACCCCATGCACTGGGTGCAGTGGCGCGCACCCAATTCAGACGCGTGGGGGTTGCAACCGTACTCATGAGCTTCTGGCCGCCAGACTGCCGATGGCATGTGGGATGGCCCGCAGATGTGGGACGACTTGCAGCATGCGAGCTGCTGCCGTGCGCAAGCACTGGCGGCCTGCTTGCTTGGAGCGCGTTGTGCATGGGCATCCAAGCCATCCAGGTGGAAGCTCTGAACGTGTTGCAGTGCAGCACGGGGGGCACACGAATGTGTTATCAAATCTCTCAAATCTACATGTGTACAAGAAGTTGGATAACAGGAACCCAGTGGCTGTGCTCCGCAGCCAGTGCCCCTTCAGCAACCGCGCCCACTGGACTCGCTAGCAATGTGATCGCCGGATGATTGGTGTAAGCACTCGTGGCCTGCACCTGGGCAACGTGTGGTCATAACAGCCAGCAATTTGCAGGACCATATGGTTTTACATTACTTGGTGTGCATGCTGAATGCAGTTGCCAAAGCTGCTGGGTGCTCAAGCTACAGGTATGCAACAGGACCACGCACTGGGAGGCACGGGTGGGCGGGCACTTCGGGGACGATTCGTACTGGACATGTGATGATTGCGATTACCTGCCCTTACGCAAGCAAGGATACGATGATCAAACCGTGCTTTTGACTGACATGTGTCATCACATGTTAACAAGTGGGTCACCCTCGCAGCCATTTGACGCAGCTGGTGACGTTTGGCCGCAAGTCATTGCTGCCAAAATGGGCCTGCAGACAGTGGCGATGGTTTTGACGCAGGCGGCTTGCTGTTGGGTGTGCCCTAGGTGTTGGGATCCGGGTGAGATTCACCTGGCCCGTTTTGGGAGAGAACAACAAGTTTGCTTGGCTGCAGTGCGGTAGCTGCCGTGTCACTGCACTACCTGGAGCGCGCTGCTGACTGAAGCAGAGGGCATAAGTAATTTCATCTAGCGTAGTCTTGTCGGAAAATATTGGCACCCATCGCACTGCAAGGTTCGCGTTTGCCGTTGCTGGCCTCCTACATTCAAATTTTGGCAGCCAGTGATCTGGCGTGTGCTGCAGCTTACGATTGGTGGATCGAAGGTTGACACCAACATAAATCATAATACATCGCGGCGAGTCGCGTGTGCCTCGAATAGCAGGATAGTGGTGGCAGCATGGACGTCGACGATGATGTATACAGCGACATTGACAGCGAGAATTGGAGCCCGTCTCCGCTGATCGCGAAGGCGAGCGGGCTTGCGTCGAGGAATGTTGCACTGCGGCGCGGCCTGCACTGAGGCACTCAGTCGCGCGAGCAGCAGATGTCGACGCTCACTTCCGCATGTCCAACGCCGCCACAGCAGCGGACCAAGCTCCGGTGAGGTCCCATTGCCGCATGCCATCCGCGCCCGCGCAGGCCAAGAAGGCCGCCGCCAAGAAGCCGCTCGCCGCGAGCAACGCGCCCGCCGCGCCCCAGCAGCCCGGCGGCCACCATGCGGGCAAGGCGATCGAAGACATATACCAAAAGAAGACCCAGCTGGAGCACATCCTGCTGCGCCCAGACACCTACATCGGCAGCACGGAGAAGCAGCAGCAGCCGCTGTGGGTGCACGACGGCGAGCGGATGACGTACAAGGCCATCACGTACGCGCCGGGCCTGTTCAAAATCTTTGACGAGATCTTGGTGAACGCGGCGGACAACAAGGTCAGGGACCCCTCAATGGACACCGTGAAGGTGGACATAGACAAGGTGGGGGCCGCTTGGATGGCCGCTACGGGGCTGGGGCAGGACGCGCATTGGCGGAGGGCTGCACGGGCAGGCGCTGGAGCAGGGGGCTGCGCGCAAGCGCTGCAGTTGGCGGGCGTGCAGTTGCGGCGGCCAGCTGTCTGCCTACGCTTCATCTCCTGAGGGGTCGCTCTTGCTTTTCCAAATATTTCTCCTCTCCTGCCAAATGCAGGATCGGCCCCAAGCACGATGCGCCCTCCGCAGCCCTCACCTGCCGCCCCACCCAGCACCCCTCCCCTCAGCCCGTGGCCCCGACCCCTGCGCGCCCGCACTGCTCACCCCCGCAGGCCGCCAACTCGATCCGCGTGTACAACAACGGCCTGGGCATCCCCGTGGAGGTCCACAAGGAGGAGGGGGTGTACGTGCCGGAGCTCATCTTTGGCCACCTGCTGACCAGCTCCAACTACGATGACAAGGACGCCAAGGTGGGGCGGTTGTCAGAGGGTGTGCGTGTGTGTGTTTGTGTGTGTGTGTGTGTGTGTGTGAGAGATGCAGTGTGTGTGTGTGCGCACGTGCGTATGAGGGTGAGAGAGACAGAGAATGCTTTTGCACCTGATTTATTGAAAGTGAGGCTAGCCTCCGAGCGGACATGGGGTTGTTGCGAGTGGGATGGCAGGGGTTGACCAGCGGTTGGCATGATAATGAGGAGGCGCGCAGGGTGCTGCCCCCTTAACAAACAACATCCAGGTGGAAGAGGGGTGGTGCGTAATTACCACGTGCCCCGGGCTCGCCCGGGCATGTGCGTGGTAGGGGCCGGACGGACCTCTGCATTCGCAATCAGCCAGGCCTTGAGCGGCCCGTCGCCTCCATCCCTGCTTGGGCCCTTGCGCACAGGTCACTGGCGGGCGCAACGGCTACGGCGCCAAGCTGGCCAACATCTTCAGCACCCACTTCTGCGTGGAGACCGCGGACGGCACCCGGCAGCGGCGGTTCAAGCAGACGTTCAGCGACAACATGAGCAAGTCAGTGGGGGCCCAGCCCTGCGCAGCGGGCACGCGCATGGCAGTGCGCGTGCGGACGCAGAATCCGAGCATGTCTTGCAGCGCGCCTGCCAACTGCTTGTCTCACGAACATCTGCCGCGCCTCTACCATGCGGGCCACCCCTGCTTCGCCTGTGCGAGCGCCTCTCCACTTTCTCCGCGCAGCCCAGCCCCCGCCCCTGCCCCACCAACCCCCCCCCCCCCCC